GGGGGCACAGCGTGAGTTTGGGGACACACACACACACAGAGGTGAATGGGGGTCCCCACGCGCGCCCCGGGGGAGTTCGGTACCGTGGGCGATGACGATGCCGACGGCGTTGGGCTCGGACAGCGGCGCCATGGGGACGTTGAGTTTTTGGGAGATGCTGTAGGAGGCGTGGATGTGGAGGCTGCACTGCAAGCGCAAGGGAGAGCCCGTCCAGCACCCGCGGGTACCCGAAACGGGGGGCACAGCCGCCCAGGAACAACCAGGAGCACCCCGGGACCACCCAGCCTGCTCAGGGCTGTGCAGCCCCATGGGGTGACCCACAGCTCCACGGTGCAGCCCACAGCCCCATGGCAGGACCACAGTGAGACCCACAGCCCCATGGCACGACCCACAGCCCTACAGTGAGACCCACAGCCCACAGTGCAGCCCACTGCCCCATAGTGCAGCCCATAGCCCCACAGTGAGACCCACAGCCCCACGGCATGACCCACAGCCCTGCAGTGAGAACCACAGCCCCATGGCACGACCCACAGCCCCACAGTGAGACCCACAGCCCCATGGCACGACCCACAGCCCCACAGTGAGACCCACAGCCCCATGGCACGACCCACAGCCCCACAGTGAGACCCACAGCCCCATGGCACGACCCACAGCCCCACAGTGAGACCCACAGCCCCATGGCACGACCCACAGCCCCACAGTGAGACCCACAGCCCCATGGCACGACCCACAGCCCTACAGTGAGACCCACAGCCAGCCCCATGGCGCGACCCACAGCCCTACAGTGAGACCCACAGCCCCATGGCACGACCCACAGCCCTACAGTGAGACCCACAGCCCCGTGGCACAACCTACAGACCCATGGTGCAACCCACAGCCCCACAGTGAGAACCACAGCCCCACAATATGACCCACAGCCCCATAGTATAACCCAGTGCCCCATAGCGAGACCCACAGCCCCACAGCACAACCCACAGTTCCATGGTGAGACCCACAGCCCCCACACCTCTGGTAGGGGATTCACTTGTCCCCCTGCACCCCCTTGGCCGTGGGGCAGCAGCAGGACCCCGGGGGGCACACACAGACCCACCTCGTCCCTGCTCCGTGCCGTGGAGTCGCAGGTGGTGTTTTTGGGCTTGCGCAGCGGCACCCACTGCCCCCCGCGGTCGAAGGTGATGACGGATTGGATGGAGTTGTCTGGGGGGGACACACACAGGTGGAGGAGCCAACAGGGTCAGGGGGGCACCCAAAACCTCTGCACCCCCCTGTACAGGGGGTCCCACTCCCCTCCAGCCCCGCCCCGGACCCAGTTTTGGGGAGGGGGGCACACGGGGACGCCCACCTTGGGAGAGGACGCTGGTGATGTAGATGCCGCGCAGGGAGGTGACGTTGGTGAAGTCGGTGTCCCCCCCTGTGCTGGTGTAGAGGTGGCGCTCCAGGGACTTGGAGTACACCACGCCGCGGTCGTCCGAGGTGTAGATGGTGCCAAAACCGGTGTCTGGGGGGGACACGGGGACAGCAATGACGGGGGGACACTGCCACGGGGTCACCAGCGACCCCCCGGGAAGAGGAGAGACCCCCCGAGAAACCCAGGGGTTCCCCATTGTCCCCAAGGGTTCCCAGTTGAACCCAGGAGTTCTGAGTTGTCCCAAGGGGTTCTGAGTTGTCCCCAGTTGTTCCCAATGTCCCCAGTTGTCCCCAAAGGTTTCCAGTTGTCCCCAGGGGTTCCCAGTTGTCCCAGTGGTACCCAGTTATCCCCAGAGTTTCCTAGTTCCCCCAGACGTCCCCAGTGTCCCCAAAGGTCCCCAGTTGTCCCAGGGCTTCCCAGTTGTCCCAGTGTCCCCAGTTGTCCCCGGGGGTCCTCAGGAGTTCCCACCTGTCCCAGTTGTCCCCAGTTGTCTCCAGGGGTTCCCACCTGTCCCAGTTGTCCCCAGTTGCCCCTAGGGCTTCCCAGTTGCCCCAGTGTCCCCAGTTGTCCTAGGGGTTCCCAGTTGCCCCAGTGTCCCCAGTTGTCCCCAGGGGTCCTCAGGAGTTCCCACCTGTCCCAGTTGTCCCCAGTTGCCCCTAGGGCTTCCCAGTTGCCCCCAGGAGTTCCCACCTGTCCCAGTTGTCCTCAGTTACCCCCAGGGTTTCCCAGTTGTCCCCAGTTGTTCCCCGCTGTCCCCAGGTGGTGTCCCCAGGGGTGTCCCCGTGCCCCCCTCACCGCCCGGCTCGTCCACGTGCATGAAGACCAGGTCGTCGTTGGCGGCCAGGATGGAGTAGAACTGCTCGTGCCCCACGGACGGGAGCTGGGCCATGCTCCAGGAGTCGCCCTGGTCCAGGGACACGTGGATGCGCCTCGAGGTGCCCTGGGGACACAGCGGCCTTCAGCATCCTCAGCCTCCCCATCCTCATCCTCCTCACCCCTCATCCTCCTCAGCCTTCATCATCCTCATCATCCTCACCCCTCACCTTCCTTGCCCTTCATCCTCACCCTTCATCATCATCATCCTCAGCCCACATCCCTCATCCTCCTCATCCTCACCATCCTCATCCTTCATCCTCATCCTTCATCCTCCTCACCCTTCATCATCCTCAGCCCACATCCCTCATCCTCATCCTCAGCCTTCATCATCCTCATCCTTCATCCCCCCACCCTTCATCATCCTCATCCTCCTCATCTTCCTCGCCCTTCATCCTCATCCTTCATCAACCTTGTCATCCTCAGCCCACACCCCTCATCCTCCTCATCCTTCATCCTCTTCACCCCTCATCCTCCTCAACTTCCTCATCATCCTCACTCTTCATCCTCCTCACTCCTCAGCCTTCATCTTCTTCATCCTCCTCCCCCTTCAACCTCCTCAGTGGGAAAGGAAGGGGACACCAGGGAGGCAGGGATGGGGAAGGGGAACGAGGAAAGTGGGACAGGGAACGGGGGACGAGGAAAGGGGGACGAGGAAAGGGGAAGGGGGACAGGGAAGGGGACAGGAAAGGGGACAAGCAGGGGACGAGGACCTTCTCTGTCATAACGGAGGCGAAGAGGAAGCGCCCGCCCAGGCCGAAGGAGTAGATGTTGGTGCCGATGACCTTGAAGGCTTTGCCGAAGTCCGAGGTTTTCTTTAGCTCCAGTGACCCCAGATCAGCTTCTTAACGAGAACGACAATGGATTAACGAGCCCGGAGCCGCCTCCGGCTTCGTCAGCGCCACCGCCGCTGGGCCAGGCCATCCCCCTGGCGGCGGCGCGCGCGGCCGTCCCCCCGCCGTGTCCCCAAGTGTCCCCAGAGCGACGGGGACCCCAAAACGGGCACTTACTGCAGGAGTTGTTCAGGTAGGTGGTGAAGAAGATGGTGTCGTTCGCACCCCTGGGGAGGAGAAGGGGGGGGGTGACACCCCAAAACCAGGATGTGACACCTCAAAAGTGACCCAGGATGCTCTGAGGGGTTCGGGTGGGTGTCCCTCAGCCCCCCACCCTAAATTTTGCCCCCCTCCCCAAGCAGCAGCCACTCACCACTTGGCCAGGCAGACGGCTTTGTGGATCTCCACCCACGTCTCCCCAAAATCCTTGGACACCCAGAGGCCGTTCTGCAAGAGCCCAGGGGGTGGTTACGGCCTCCCCAAAACCCTGAGGGGTGCAAACCCCGTCCTCACGG